TTGTGTCAGTTGAGCTTCGGCCTCCGTCTTGCTTGTTTCTATATCTTTCAAATCATCGGCAACAGCTTTCATCTCCTCGAATTCCTTCTTGTGCTTTTCTACATCTACTCGTAATTCATTCATTCTTTCTGAGGTTGGGGGGAAGCGCTTAACTAAAGCATTGAGAGAAAATGTTGGGTAAAATGTTTGCTGCCCTTGTTGAGAGGTTACTGTAAGGTACTTTGGTTGTTGCTGCAGCTCGAACCTATGCACTTCATTTTCAGCTCTATCCAGATGTCGTTGAGCTTCGTTCAAACGTGCTTGAGCCTTCTCCTTAGCAATTCCTGCCTTTTCCGCATCATCGCCAAAAGTTTTGATCACAAACAAAGCAGTTTTTATCGGCTTTTCTAGGCCATAACTTCTAACCTTGGCCAACGTTAGCCTGACATCAACTAGTTGAACTCCTTCTAGTGTTGCAGGATCATAAGTCGTCATAGCACACACGTTGTCCACGCATTTCTTCATCATTGCACAATGGTTATCTTTGTCCTTAATCCATCGTCCTCGAATACCGTTGTTTGCCTTGCCAACATAGACTTGTGTTTTATAAATGTTCTCTCTTTCGTTGCTAGGGTGGAATTCCTCATCGTCAAGAACTGCCCAATAAAGAGTATGTTTATCCAAGCAAGATGCCATGCCTTCGTCTATTTCCTTCTGTTCATCTGCATTTTTTGTTATGAACTTGCGAATCGATGGGTTAATCCAGAAAAGATCATTCTCATATGTCTTCGTCGTCTGCTGCCATGATGCCCATCCATTGGCAGTCCTTACATACACAATGGGACGTAAATTCTCTTTGATAATTCTTCGCATATTAGCTACACTGGAAACTTTTATACGTAGCATAGCAGAAACTATGCGACAAGTTTGCATATGAATATAGGCACAAGTTTTTTGCTTAACAACTTGTGTACTGCGTCCCGTTCTGGGATAGTAATTGTGTCAGCCCACTTGCCGTAGGGTATCGGCTAAGTCGGGACGCTCTTAATTTTTTAGCTTTAAACTAGGATTTATCTACTTTGAATACTAATAACATATATAAACACAACTGGACAGACATTCAGTAATTTCAGTTTTCATTATAACGTCAATCGCGGTTATCTCCGTGACTGTTAAGAAATTTGAACTTTCCATCCAGCAAACCACCTTTGGTTGCTATTGCACGCGGAATAAACTAATCAATATCAGTTATTTTTGCTTAGCAATTAGCAATTCTCATGCACTTAACATATATAAAAACTGTATACACAGACTTGCAAATGAGAATACTATTTAAATTTTAAAAAACGCAAAAACGAGAAGTTTACCCATGCACTTAGATTTCGTTTTTTGGTATATTTTTACGTATTATAAGTACGAGTATTTTCATATTTAAGTTTTTGTATACAGTTCGTATATGCGAAAATATGCCTATAGGAAATATACTAGACGTGAACTATATGGCGTGAACTGAAGCTAGAAACCTGTGGTTTCCACTATACATTATACGTGCGCATGTTATCACTAAAGTAAATAATTCAATGAAAAAAGCTAAAAAACCTCCTGGGTTATTCAATATTCCAACTTCTCCGTTAAAGAACGCTTCAAATAAAAAGCTTTAAATAAACCTCGTCTCCTGGGTATCTCTGGGGAGAGCGAATACATTTGAAAAGTGTCATTTCCTAATATTTAAAAAAGGAAATGCTGCTAAATATGGTGCGAATTATACATACTTTGATAAAGTCACTCTCGCATAACGTATAGAAGGCGTTTGCTGGGTGGATAAACTGCTTGTTTACCTATATAACAGGGGATTTTAATCCTGCATTACATAAATTCAGGAAAAAAATATTACTTGGGGAGTAGAATGCACCATTCAGTGTTGGCCAACGTTCGCGCGCAGGAGGAGTGGATATCTTCATATCAATCCAAAAACGTATTTAGCGTGAATTTTCTGCACTAAAAGCATGCACCAATCTTTAGTCTCTAGAGGTTGTTTTTGACTTGAGAGCACCGTAGGCCATCGTGGTCCTGGAGAATGGTACGTCGTACGATTTATGATTACATCCTGTTTTATACCGTTTCCCAGAACATACCTCCTGTATGTTTGACTTGACCCAACACTGCTTGAGCAGATCTTAGCCTTAGGCATTATGACGTGAGATGCCTTCCCGTGACAATTAAGATCATTTTCTCTGCGAAAATAATTCAGACAGACGTTGCCGTTTTCACAAGGAGTGTTGGTCTTAATGGTTTTACGTCTAGGATCGTTTGACGGCATAATCCATATGGCAATCCGCATATCTATGATTATAACTTTAATACGGGCGAGGATTGGAATGGTGTGGGCTTGTAAAGTGGGAGAAATGTTATGGTATATATAAATTCTCGAAAACAATTGTATCTGCGCACTTTGTCTTTGTAGCAACCTTGTATAGCCATGCATGGCTAAAATCCAAACCGATATACCTCGTTTAGGAAAAGCCCTGATTTCATGGGTGTGGAATTTTCGCGAGAAATACATATATTAACGAAAATACAGACAATTGAAAAGTAAACATAGCAATTTTTACCACTACCGTTGCGTGTCACGTTCGTTGGGTTCTCTTGGCAAATGTCGAACTAATTTCACCTAATTGAACATGTACATTAGTGTACGCGCGTTAGCCGTCATGTTTTTGAACAACAGGATTCACTAAGATACGGATGCTTGAATTAGGGCAATTGTACATTATAGCATTCATAACTATTCGCATATTTGCATCTCTCATGCAGAGAAGAAATTCGCAGCCAAAATTGCAAGTGTAAAGCCTGTTCTCTGTTACGCGAAGAATCGATTCCATCTCTTTTTAACTATCAACTGGTTCCTTGGGAGTTTTTAATTGGCAAAGCTTGGTATAATTTTTCGGTCGAACGGAAACTTTGGCTCAATATCTCGTTTCAGGCGAAAGGTTCCGCCTGGTGCCCCCCCCCCCCCTTAGGATCGGATCGCAAAAATTCATGAACAGGTTTACTCGAAAGCCTAACATGGGAGGAAAGATTTTGATCATCACCTATCATAGGAGCTGGGGAACTCGCTGTTCTCGTTTATGGAAATTTATGCACAATGAAAACATTGTAGTGCTTTGTATAAAAAGACAATTGATTACATGGCTGATATGACATGAAGTTTTTAGTCGGGAAGAAGTCTGGTTAAATTTATTTCCTGTTACGCTTTTACGTGTCAGGTATGATGATGTCATTGAAGACGTAACGCCTTGAGTAAGACTACGTTTACACTACTCCGGGGCGAAAAAGTGACGGTAGAATTTGACTGCGTTTACACTTGTCCGTTTGAATTCCGATGCGGTTTCGCGGGCGTTTACCCATAATCGTCGCTCACCGTCAACATTCGTGAGTTGTTCGCGGAAAATCGCGCCATTTCTAACTCTTGTCGACACGTTGTTCCACTGCGTTGTTCACGTTGCTATTTTACCAGAGTATTTACATATTTGTAGCCATGGGAAGCGAGAAGAATGTATATTTTGTATGGACCGATGACGAGGTTGAGTTACTTTTGGGAGTTATTTTACATTTTAAGGCAGATAGAGAAGCAGATGGATACGATTGGGAGTCTGTGAAAACTAAATATGAAAGCATCACTGCGTTGTTTGTAAAACGCTATCCGAATGAATCTAGCCAAAGGTTTCCCAAGGCCAATCCCGAAAAAGATTTTACCAAATCGAGGATTCAGACAAAAGTAAAAGCTATTCGGTTGAAGTATAAAAAAGCAGTCGACTCTGGAAAAAAAGCGGAGGAGGTCGCGTGGTGGCGACATTTTACGATTCTTGCCAGAATATTTGGGGAGGGAGTCCTGCTGCGGAAATGATAGACAATGGTATAGAAACATCGGACATCTTGTCGCAGGATCCAGTACGTACATGTTAATATAGATGAACGCTACTTGAACAGAGAAGAAGAGGATGCTAAAGATCATGGCGAAGGGAAAACTGATAAAGAAGCGACTACCACAAATCCTTTGAAAAGAAGGAATCTGGTTGATCACATTGTAAACCAGCGAAATTCAAAATTATTGAAAAAATTACCTATGGAAAAAGCATTACTCGATGTGGCTAAAGAAGACATGGCTTTGAAAAGAGAAATATATATAAGGTTAGGGAGATGAAAAAGTCAGACAAGGAACAGTGTGATCAGATGCGAATTCTTAATGATACCATGTTGAATCTTACAAAATCGATTAATGAAGGTATGCAAGCATTTAACCACAATATGACCACCAGAGGAATGCAGATTTATCAGCCTGCACCATCTAAGTAAATGTTTCTCTGGACATTCGGAAATTTTCATGCCATTCGCTTTCGCATGAAACACCTGAAAATGATTTTTTTTTATCTTTAATAAAACATACAGATACAAATTAAAATCATAAAATCCACCCATCAATGTTAAACCCCATTGGTTTTGTGGCATGGGGGGGGGGCAGTTTACATTAGTAAAATGTTATGAAATGGCCCACTGTTTGGCACTAAAGATGGGTACTAAACACTAATTTATTGCTTTAAGATGAATTCAAAGTACCTGAAATAATGTTTTCCCACCAAATACTGGTCCTACCCGGACGAGTCCTTTCGCTTCTTTCGATTTTGTTTTTTTTTAACAAGTCGAATAGACTTGCCTAACAAAACCGTCCGCAATAATGTCGCTCGAGCATTCCTTCTAGAGTGCATTTTTTGGGACAACATTGCCATACTTCCCAAAATTGCGACGGAAACTGTCATGAAAAGTTTTCTGTCATAAAACGTTTTCCATTTTGAATTACGCGCCACAGCGCGGGACGAATCCACGCATCGTAAGGGACTGGTAATTAAATTGTAGCAAAATATTAACAATATTAACGGTGTAGTGTTTACACAACGCCACGTAGCGCTCAACGTTTTCGTTCGGCCACGTTTAGAAACTGTGGTCGTGTCGCTCCGGCAAAGGTGACGTTTTCAAACAAACCGCTCCGGTGCTGTGTAAACGCAACAACGTTTTGATACTTTTTTGCACCGCTTTCAGACCGATCCGGAGTAGTGTAAACGTAGTCTAAATCAAGATAAAAACAATCGGTTCTGGTTCTTAATGTAATGTGTTAATATCTGCTATATTTCACAATATTCAGGCTGATTCAATCACAAATAATGGAATAAAAGACTGAGAATAGCATGTGTCCAATTTGACGCGATTCGAGGACAAACGAGTCATTCTCGGACATCATTGATCAACTACAGTACAATGTCATTCGATTGGGTCCATTGGGGTAAGTATATAAATATAATTTATACATACATTTACACAAAGAAATTCACACCAGCTCTATATTGAGTATTGCAAAATCCTCATGTAACAAATTTAAAAAAAAATAAAGTGGTGTGTTTGTAGTATAAGGGGCTGATTACATGGTGTCTTTTCAGCCCGGGCTGAGTTTCAGCCCGGCAAACCGGGGCCAAAATATTTTTCAATTACATGGCAAGTTTCAGCCCGGGCTGTGTTATGACACGTCAGAATTATTTTAAGATCAGGGCTGAAATTTCAGCCCGGGCTGAGTTTGTAAAGGCTGGTAGTGGACCTATTTCGATTCTTCGAGCGCTTTAAAATCCCGAATGACAATAACTTGACCTTTAAGGGACTATGACTGCACATAAAAATGAAATAAACAAACGAAAAAGCATTGTCAAGGCGAGTTTCTCTGTCCGGGTTTAGGGGCTGTTTACATGAGCCCGGTTAACCGAGATTCAACGAAGCGTGAGATGATTTTGAGATATTGAAATGAGCAGATAACATGATCCTGGCAGTCGTATAATCTCAGTGCGTATAATCACCACAACAATAGCATGTGCTTGTTTGGTGTCATAAAGACTTATTTCAATACCTCAAAGTCCTCTCACGCTTCGTTGAATCTCGGGTAACTCACGCTTTGTTGAATCTCGAAAAAATTGTTTTTCCATAAGTGGAGAAGGGATGGTTATTGGTTAGGCTAACTGGATCACATGACCATATATTTTAAGCTACATGATGAGAACCCCATCTTTTCTGATCAAAACAAAATCCAGGTTCCTTTTCCAAGGAACAAAGCTTTATTGATTAATTAAAACAAAGCTTTAAATGTTCAATAGGTTCTTGTCAACCTCCCTGTCTTGTCAGAGATGTTCGTTTTTATATTGATTACACAATCAACATTCCAACCGTGCCTTTAAAGATATGCATGAACTTACGATCCTTCTCTTGATATTCCCGATGGTTCATGGTATAAATAAGTTCATCAGACGTACCACATCTTTTTTAGTTGTATAATAGTTAAAATATAACAATATTAAATTTCCAACAATTATACAAAAAAAAGGCGGTATATCTCCTTCGTATGCCGTGAAATTTATCAATTCGAGTACGCATACATATCGCAGATAGCTTTAATTCGGATACTTGTACGTTATACCACAATATTATAATACTTTCTTTTAAAGCATCCTATGACAACAAATCACATCTCTAAATGAAGGCTGCAGTTGGTGACAATGAACGACGATGGTTGATCGTTGGTATATGTCTAAACAAAGTTCTCACTCCAGCATTGAGAGAAGTTCTTGGAAATGAAATACCAAAATGGTACCAAAGCCTACTCCCACCTCCTCATGAGATCGATAAGCAGACATTAGGAAGACATAAGAAGAAGTTGCCACCTTCTTCATTGAATTTAAACTACGAAAGTATCAACAACAATTTCACAAAGCACAAGTCGTCTGTCCGGCGTAAATATGATTATGCTGTTAAAGATGCAGTATCTCTAGCGAAGTTGTTTGTAAAACCATTCATGGCTAACTTTAGTGGTTTTGATGACACTATGGATACGTCTGCAGCTTTGTCACTCGTCGCTGAAGCTCAACCTTTTCACGCTACTGGGGCTAGTGGTATGGCGAGAAAAGTAAGATCAGATATTAGAAATGAGTGGGCGCATTGTAACTTTGCACACTGGACAGACGTCGTTTACCAAGCAGCTCTAAAAGATATGGAGACATTAATAAATCACGTCAACCTTACACCTTCGAAGAGAAAGGAAATGCTTGATGATCTTGTTGACTGGAAAGGAAAAGGTACTGAACCAACTGAATTCCATAATTGCTAAGAAGCAAAACGTGTAGTTTAAAAAACATATAAAAACATAAAATTAAAAAACAACAAAAAGTTTCGTTGTCTCGAACTGGATTTCAACTCACACGTTTAGGTATGCCCCAACTTCTCTATCCTGTAAGATGGGAATTCACCTGATCCTCGAGATAACGAAGTTTTTTGTTGTTTCCTGCAGTATCCGATATGAATTACATGCATTCTCCTCTTGCGTGCGATTTTACCAGTTGTAAAGGATCGAAAAAAGAACGAGTGAGTGCGAGCTATAGCGTCGCAAACGAGTTGCAAAAACATGACGTATTCACTTTATGTGTATAGACAGCAATTTGACAAATACACGCTTTTTAAAACATGGAAATGACAAGTTTTTCATGACCAGCTGAGAGCATCCATTGCGTGTTGATTTCGATATCCCATTATATTGTTTCAGGTCTGAAACTTTGTTTTGGCGAGCCAGTAGATCCTGAACTGCTGGAACTTGTCCACACTGAGGTTGCTGAACTTAAAGATTTGGTAAAATTTGTTGAAGAGAATACAGAGGATATTCTGGTAAATGCAATTAATATAGAATTCACTGAAATTATATCCCTTGTGACCCGGGCGTTGTGCATGCCTGAGAACATTCCAGATAATATTTTTTGACTTGTGGTTAAAGTTGATATTTAAATAGGAAAAGTTGAAATGGAATAGTTTGCAGCACAACTATAGAGTTTTGAGAAAGGAAGCAATAAAGCAATCACGCTACTTTTGATTTAAGCTACTCGAAATGCATGGATGCAGTAACCCCTGGCCATTTTAAGTAAAACGTGTAATTTCCTGAGCGAGCCCGACCCTAGCCAAGGCAGGCAATCTTATATTTATTAATAATATGAAATCACTTAAATGAGTCGACGATAGCTAATAGCAAATAATTTTGCAATAACTTTGCGTGGCCTACATGTGCACTTAAGATTTTCCGTTTACACTAATAATATTCTTTGCGTACAGAAGGCATTAGAAGCAGTCGAAAAATCTTTGAAAAATGAAATCCAAGAGTTAAAGGAAAGACAACTCCGTACTGAGAAAGATGTCGAGCAATTGAGAGCTAAACAGGACGATTTACAGATGACCATCTCTAAAAGAAATGAAAAAGAACCACGATATCTTTTCATGGCGCCTAAACAGAGTGACTGGTTTAGTGGCCGAAAATCTGAACTCGGTTATCTTCGAGACGTACTCGAGAATAAGAGTAGATGTGGCGAGGAAGGAGTCCTTGTCGCTGCCATCTCTGGTCTTGGAGGATGCGGGAAAACAAGCCTTACTGCAGAATATATACACAAATGGAAAGGTTATTATCAAGGAGGTGTTTACTGGTTTTCCGCAGAAAGCGATGTCAAGTTCAAAGCCTCGGTCGATGAGATAGCCGCGCAATTCGATACACTTTATAACGATTCGTTCAATGTTACATTGTACAAGACCCTAGCAGTTTTTTCACATATTACAAAACCATGGCTGGTGGTTGTTGACAATATGGATGAAGCTGATCTTTCACCAAATTTGGTTAATTTGGTAACAGGGCCGTGGCAAGAAAACGTCGCGTGTTTTGGTCATCTCATCATAACAACACGACGAACACCTCAGGATTTAGAAGAGCAATTATCTGGTATCGAAGAATCCAACTGTCTCAAACTTGAATGCTTTGGTAGTGAGGAGGCAAAAGAATTCGTCTTCAGAAGAACTGACATTACTCGTGATGAACAAAAAGGTAAGTTAGGTAAAATCAAATACTTTATATAAAATATCACTACATGTGGTAATGGCGGTATACGATAATTATCTATTCTGCGCCACGGTACACGAGCAAGTCCATGTAAGGGCTTTGTTCGCTGACCTTACTAGTTTAAGGAACTAAATAAAGAACACTTTATAAAAGCGGCCTGTAGGAGCAAATCCAAGATGGCGAAAACATTTTCGGCATAAATTTGAATAAATTGGAGGAAAAGTTGCAAAAGTAATTCATCGAAAAGGCAAGTGTGAAAACGGCACTATGTCAGTTCGAGCCTTTTATTTCCCTTGAGTTCTTAATTGTCTTTAATATCAAGATTAGTATTTAAGATTAATTAAGATTAGTACCGTGAATTTAAGCAACTTCAGACTGCTCTTCCCCTCATAACGTAGCGATATCAAAAAAGAAATATTCTGCAACATATACTTAGCTCCAAAAGTATAAATTCAGTCGAACAAATATCTGGCATTTGTTACATCAACATATAAGTTACGTCGGTGTAAACAACAAATTGACCTTAACACTATTTACTTTCCCTTACACAGAACTTTCCGCGGACTCCCTATGTCAAAAGCTTGGTGGCTTACCATTAGCATTAGAACAAGCTTGTGCATACATCAAGTATCTGGGATGCTCATTATCTGAGTACTTAGGGTCGTACGAGAAACAGTCCCTCCAACTTCTAAACAAGAAGAAAGCTACCTCTTTTTATGGAACTTCCCCAGAACGATTGGCCGTTCGTACCACGTGGCATCTCAACTTTGAACATATCAAAAAAGATGAAAACGGGATCGTCGCCACTCGTTTTTTGAATGCTTCGGCGTTTTTGGATCGCAATGAAATTCAAAAAGACCTCATTAATGTTGGCGATCCACTTGTTGACGACAAAATGTATTGTGATTACGTGAGCTCTTCTTTGGGTTCCCTTGAAGTCCTGAAACTCTTGACCGACTTTCTCTTTTCAAGGAAACTCACGATTCTTCCCTCACTGTTCATCGTTTAGTCCAAGAGGTCATTCGAGAAAGTCTGACCTCAGAGGAGAAAGTTGAAAGCATTGTTGACGCAGCCCGGTTGCTACGTTTTGCCTTCTTGAAATGTCGCTCTCCTGATCTTATTTCAGTAACTGAATATAGTGATCGATCTTCTCTTTATGCAAATGATTCTTCAAGTTTTCATAAGTGGCATAAGTTGTGTTTACATGCACATGAAATTAGAAGGAATCTAGAACGTCTTTTAGAAGTCGTCCATGATGTTATCGGGAAAACTGTCTTTCTACCAGAGATAGCAAGGGCGGTTTACGAATGTGCTTTGCATTTGAATGTCAATAATTTGAGTGGTCAGGCAAAAATTGTTGGAGACTTTGCCAATCGGATTTTTGACTGTAGTCGCCAAGAGATTTCGGAGAATGATTTGAGGGTTCTCTTTCCACATACGTTTCCTCTGTCAGAGTCTGTACGTAGGTTAATCAAATACTCCTGTGAGGCTCCCCCTGAGATAGAAAATATCATAACTATTATTAAGACCTCTGCTTATGATCCCATGAAAGCAGAAATCGATAATTTGCGATCTGAGGGTAATGACCTATTCATGAAAAGCAATTTCGAAGAGGCTGTAACAGTATACTCTTCATGTATTGATAGAAGTATAGGGAAGAATTTTTTTGACCCTAGGTTATTTAGTAATCGTGCTTCTGCTTATCTCAGGTTAGAGCAGTTCAAAAATGCTCTGAGCGATGCTGAGGAATACATTAAGTATTCTCCTGATTGTTGGAGAGGCTACGCTAGGAAAGCCTTGGCTCTTCACGGCTTAAATGAACAAGATGCTGTATGTGCTGCAGCTTTGGCCTTTTATTATCACCCCAGTATCTTCGAAAAATACGAACCATTTAAAATTTCATTTCCCAATATGAAAGAACGTATTCATATTTGCGATGACGTTCTTTCACTTGTTTCTTTGCTTTCTCCTCCGCTACATGATGAGATGTTTGCTTATAGCCCGTGCAAAATCATTCTTCTCAAACCAGGCAATTATTGTCTCCTTGCCAAAGATTTCGAAAGTTTTCGAATTCAAGATGAAAATATTTTCAATGTCAATATAAAGCGGTTGATAACACTTGATTTTTGCATTGTTGGTGTGGGTGATAGCTCGCCTTCACTCTCCTTCGATCGTAATTTAGGTCTGCTTTCCCGCAACGTTGTGGCTTATAACATCTCTTTTATATTCGATGTTGCAAACTGGGGTACCCTGCAGGGCTCTACAGTCAAGCTGTTGAACTGTTCGTTCACGTGCAATCTAGATTGGCGTGCTTTTCTGTCAAAAGGAAATCTCAGTGTGAAAAATTGTGTGTTTAACAATTGCAAAAATACTGCCCTGTTCACTGAAGGAGAAGCTGTTGTTGAAGACTCCGTCTTTTCTGGTAACAAGTCTGCTGGAATAGAAATCTTCGGTGGAAGTCTTTGCCTCAAAAACAGCAAACTTCACGGTAACCGATGGGGTTTACTTCTAATGCATGGCAAATGTCGTGTGGCTTGTTGTCAAGTTTATGATAACGAGGAAATGGGTATATGAGTCCAGGAAGGAAATGCAACATTTACACGAAATGAAATATTTCACAATGACCGTCATGGTGTATTTGTTCGTGAAAAAGGTTCCGCTGTCATAGAGGAAAATGAAATATTTGAGAACAATTGGCTGGGTATTCGAGCGTTCGATGCTTGGTGCCATATTTCTCGGAACAGAATTTACCAAAACAAATGTGGCGGCATTCATGTGGTGCCAGTAACAAAAGCATCAGGTCTGCGGCAATCAATTATTGAGTCCAATCGTATTTTTGGGAACGAGGGGCCTGGTATTGACCAAGCCATAGGTTGGGATGATGAACTCGACAGTGCGATGCCGAATCTTTTTGAAGTCTTTTCCGCAAGAGGTGGTGAATTCTTGCTAGCGAAATGCACTGACAATGAGGTGAAAAATAACATGGAGAGAGGCAGCCATCCACAACTGAAGGAGTTCACTGACATTTGTTTTCGTTGTTACAAGAAAGGCCATTGGAAGAAATGTGACAACTGTTTTATCGCAGGATACTGCAGCCCAGGATGCGAAAAAGATGACTTTGAAATCCACAAAAATTGTTGCGTTCGACTATTGGAGAGATATAGCGTTTTGGTAAAAGTTCTTCCATTGTCATCCGGTCTCATTGGCGACAAGATGGTTTTAGACGAGGGTAATGAAAGGGGGATGCCATGGTCGGTCCTTGAGCCTTGTGGACGTGCACACGCGCGGCCGCCCAACAACGGTGAACGTTTCGTTGTTAAGATACAAGCCTGTGATGGTCCAAGAAAATCTAATCGCGGACGTACCCTTCTTTCTATAAGAGATCGTAGCCTGTCTGTTAACGGAAGTTTGGCTATGGGTGACCATTGCGACGGCATTTATCGCATTGTAAGAGAGTGTGGCTTCAACTGTGAATGTTTAGGATGGAAAAAGAAGTTCTTTTGGGCTGTCCTTGCAGGAGATTACCGTACAGTGCGCGTATTTCTCACTGATTTACCAAGCTATCAACTTTGGTAACGACAAATGTTATCTATCACTCAGTTAAACAGAGAATCAAACAAGTCCATGAAATAACGGTTCAAAATTGCGCACTAGGCATTTAATATGTATAGTTGATTTAATTGCTTTTAGCATGGTAGACTATATTTTTAAAATATAATATATGCGATAAAACTGGGTGTTTTACACGTTGTGTCAAAAAAGCGAAACACCTAAAAATCCGCTATTATTCTGATTTTTAATGCTATGTTAAATTTGAACTCGCTACTAATTACACACAATGTCCACTATAGGACAATCTTCGGGTTCTCCTATGGAAAATGTTTCGCATGACAAGCAATTTTGGCCTAATTCAACAGATACTTAATACATTGATCCCTTAATTTACTTTTACGTAGCTTCAACATGGCATTATTAGGACGATGAAGAATATTTTTGGTTCGCCTTTTTCGAGACACACTATCCACGCGGGTTTATCCAAATAAAAGAGACTTATAGAAATTACCCTTGAGCCTGGTATTCATTTAGTCGTCACTGTCGTGATTCTCACGAATGTGAAATAGTCATGCGTAAATTTGTCCTTACTTCTTAATGCAATTCGGGCATTGTTTGACTACACACCCATACACACCCATTGTTTGACTACACACCCATACACACCCATTGTTTGACTACACACCCATACACACCCATTGTTTGACTACACACCCAGAAATGTTATATCACATGGCCAACGTGACATGTTACGGCAATTAAGTCTAAATGGAAACCAGGCATCATCGTGCCCAAGCACAACGGGAGTTCCTAAGGTCTTTACATCCTGTATAATTTAGATATAACATAATATATATTTTTAAAACGTGAGGCAAAAAAACAATTTCTGAATAAACAAGATATCTTAAAAAACATATAAATGATTTATACTCACGACACGAAAGACACAAAATTGAAACTTAAAACGAATTTCAATTGTATTATGTATTCTATAAAGAAAGTGTTGATTTAGCGTTCCAGGTCTATATTTATTTTATATGCCCTATATAAAGTATAGCAACTGAGATATAATGATACTGAGGTTATGTCTTTTATCTTTCTGAATATATATTTGATTTTGAGCCCTTGCACATGCATGATCACTTATATAATGTAGCTGTGTTAATATGTTTGTATTTTTAGCTAATAGCTTAACTATATAACATGTGCAGGATGACTTCGAATGTCTCAGAACGCTTTATATACCTACACACCTGCTGTGTACATGAAGCATGTCACATGCAAATATTACTAAACTGTTGCCAAATGTGAAGTTGCTATTTTTGCCAGAAATTAATTTAAAAGAGGTAAAGGAAAGTGTGGTCCTAAGGTATACATAAACTCTTAGAATACTCTACCTCTCGCTTATAAAATTGATATCCACTTTCAAGAACGACATTTGAAATGTTATTCGAGGTATTAAAATGCACTTACACCGTTTGCGCTGGATGCATGCTCGCATCTCATTAATCAAAGAACCAATATCTACGCGTTTCCCTTTTCACACGACGAAATGATAAACAAAGTTATGAACGAGTACTATTTAGAAGACTAACTGGCAAATTTAGAAAGAGGCTAAAGTAAGTGCAGTATAAGTGCCATCTTAGAAGTCATTATTTCGAAAATATATTAGTTTGTCAACTAGTAACCAACATCGTTCCTGGGGCATTTGCTTCCAGGGTAGGACAGCTGTGAAAATAGCTGCATCTTTATTCACAATGTTTTTTGCAACATGCTGTATTATATATTTCTATTGGCCAGTAGAATACTCATGAATTCATATTCATGCACGTGGAATGGAAAGAAACAAACTGTTTGGCAAGAATTGATGATATTCGCCGTCGCCTTCGTTTATAGGATATATTAGAATAAATTTCTTAGTTTATAAAACCTAATTAATATAATTCCTAAGAAGGAATTTCGTTCTAAACTATAATCAGCCAAATTGTCTACATTTTTCAGGCTAAGCCAATAAAATTGCCTACTTTTTTAATACTTCATGTAGGGTAAATAACGTTGTGACTAAATTGTTTTAAAAAGCTTCTACGTAATAATATATGAATTCAAATTGTATTCACAAAAATCAAATACATGTACTTAAAAAGTGATTGGGTTTTGTCCAAAAAAACTTTGGGTGGGTTTATTATATTTCATTAGATTTGAGTATATTAGATTTTATTTGGGACCAATCTGCAAATTTCCTACATTTTCGGTAACCCAATCAAAAGCGTAAGTTTTAGCAACTTCCAGGACAGAGGTACATAACTCGTGCTTTAAAATAATCATGATCAATGTTCAATGCACTTTCAATGAATATTTACTGCAGAGACGTGTTTACTGCATAAGACATTTTACTTTTTAATATCACAATTCGCTTTCAGTGCTACAATTAGATAATGAATTGGCCCAAACCGTCTGAAAAAATACTACCAGGGGTCGTTAGCTACAAATCAGTAAATTCATCCGGTTCTTGGGATTCAGTATGTAATGTATATCGTGGCTCAGAGTACTATATAACTGATTATACTGTTTATGCAAGAATCAAGATTCAACTTTCTTTTCCCATTCAGTGCTACAGTATATAATATGGTAACTAATATGCTATATATTAATTAATTTTGTCCCGATAACATCATACCGAACATAAAGTCTGTGAAGATTTCTAATCTCCGAGACCTGACCGAATATGCCATATCTGTCATCTCAGTGCATTTTAACATTTTAAGGCTTAGAAAGTTGTTCAATTTTAGCAAAACTTGGTAGCCTTCGTGTGCACCTTTAATCATTCAGTCTCGTCCTAATTCCCCAATCATTAAACTTAACTGAAGTTCATTCCAAATCTCATATCGGTTGGTTTCCATGTTAACTTGTAGTCATTATACGGAATTACGTTTTTACGCCTGTCGTGAATTCTTTTGCCTTTTCGGTGCCACTTCTCTGCTTGTGTCAGTTGAGCTTCGGCCTCCGTCTTGCTTGTTTCTATATCTTTCAAATCATGGGCAACAGCTTTCATCTCCTCGAATTCCTTCTTGTGCTTTTCTACATCTACTCGTAATTCATTCATTTTTTCTGGCGTTGGAGGGGAGGGCTTAACTAAAGCATTGGATGGAAATGTTGGGTAAAAATATGTTTGCTGCCCTTGTTGAGAGGTTACTGTAAGGTACGTTAGTTGTTGCTGCAGCTCGAACCTACGCACTTCATTTTCAGCTATATCCAGATGTCGTTGAGCTTCGTTCAAACGTGCTTGAGCCTTCTCCTTAGCAATTCCTGCCTTTTCCGCATCATCGCCAAAAGTTTTGATCACAAACAAAGCAGTTTTTATCGGCTTTTCTAGGCCATAACTTCTAACCTTGGCCAACGTTAGCCTGACATCAACTAGTCGAACTCCTTCTAGTGTTGCAGGATCATAAGTCGTCATAGCACACACGTTGTCCACGCATTTCTTCCTCATTGCACAATGGTTATCTTTGTCCTTAATCCATCGTCCTCGAATACCGTTGTTTGCCTTGCCAACATAGACTTGTGTTTTATAAATGTTCTCTCTTTCGTTGCTAGGGTGGAATTCCTCATCGTCAAGAACTGCCCAATAATATGTTTATCCAAGCAAGATGCCATGCCTTCGTCTATTTCCTTCTGTTCATCTGCATTTTTTGTAATGAACTTGCGAATCGATGGGTTAATCCAGAAAAGATCATTCTCATATGTCTTCGTCGTCTGCTGCCATGATGCCCATCCATTGGCAGTCCTTACATACACAATGGGACGTAAATTCTCTTTGATAATTCTTCGCATATTAGCTACACTGGAAACTTTTATACGTAGCATAGCAGAAACTATGCGACAAGTTTGCATATGAATATAGGCACAAGTTTTTTGCTTAACAACTTGTGTACTGCGTCCCGTTCTGGGATAGTAATTGTGTCAGCCCACTTGCCGTAGGGTATCGGCTAAGTCGGGACGCTCTTAATTTTTTAGCTAGGAATCTACTTTGAATACTAATAACATATATAAACACAACTGGACAGACATTCAGTAATTTCAGTTTTCATTATAACGTCAATCGCGGTTATCTCCGTGACTGTTAAGAAATTTGAACTTTCCATCCAGCAAACCACCTTTGGTTGCTATTGCACGCGGAATAAACTAATCAATATCAGTTATTTTTGCTTAGCAATTAGCAATTCTCATGCACTTAACATATATAAAAACTGTATACACAGACTTGCAAATGAGAATACTATTTAAATTTTAAAAAACGCAAAAACGAGAAGTTTACCCATGCACTTAGATTTCGTTTTTTGGTATATTTTTACGTATTATAAGTACGAGTATTTTCATATTTAAGTTTTTGTATACAGTTCGTATATGCGAAAATATGCCTATAGGAAATATACTAGACGTGAACTATATGGCGTGAACTGAAGCTAGAAACCTGTGGTTTCCACTATACATTATACGTGCGCATGTTATCACTAAAGTAAATAATTCAATGAAAAAAGCTAAAAAACCTCCTGGGTTATTCAATATTCCAACTTCTCCGTTAAAGAACGCTTCAAATAAAAAGCTTTAAATAAACCTCGTCTCCTGGGTATCTCTGGGGAGAGCGAATACATAATGTCATTTGAAAAGTGTCATTTCCTAATATTTAAAAAAGGAAATGCTGCTAAATATGGTGCGAATTATACATACTTTGATAAAGTCACTCTCTCATAACGTATAGAAGGCGTTTGCTGGGTGGATAAACTGCTTGTTTACCTATATAACAGGGGATTTTTTGTACATTACATAAATTCAGGAAAAAAATATTACTTGGGGAGTAGAATGCACCATTCAGTGTTGGCCAACGTTCGCGCGCAGGAGGAGTGGATATCTTCATATCAATCCAAAAACGTATTTAGCCTGAATTTTCTGCACTAAAAGCATGCACCAATCTAAAAGTCTCTAGCGGTTGCTTTTGACTTGAGAGTACCGTAGGCCATCATGGCCCTGGAGGATGGTACATCGCACGATTTATGATTACATCCTGTTTTATACCGTTTCCCAGAATTCATACCTCCTGTATGTTTGACTTAACCCAACACTGCTTGAGCAGACCTCAGGCATTATGACGTGAGATGCCTTTCCGTGACTATTAAGACCATTTTCTCTGCGAAAATAATTCAGACAGATGTTGAAGTTTTCACAAGGAGTTTTGGTCTTAATGGTGGTTATACGTCCAGGATCGTCTGACGGCATAATCCATAGGCAATCCGAATATCTACGATTATAAGTTTAATAGGGGCGAGGATTGGAATGGTGTGGGCTTGTGAAGTGGGAGAAATGTTATGGTATATATAAATTCTCGAAAACAATTGTATCTGCGCACTTTGTCTTTGTAGCAACCTTGTATAGCCATGCATGGCTAAAATCCAAACCGATATACCTCGTTTAGGAAAAGCCCTGATTTCATGGGTGTGGAATTTTCGCGAGAAATACGCCTATTTGCGAAAATACAGACATTTTAAAAGTAAACATAGCAGTTTTTACCGCTATACCGTTGCATGTCACGTTCGTCAATTTTTCAATTTCGAACGGAAACTTTGTCTCAATATCTCGTTCAATTCTGAGAACTCGCCTGAAACGTTTCAGGTGAAAGATTCCGCCTGGTGCCCCCCCCCCCTTTCTTTAAAATTCACTGATGAACAGGTTTACTCGAAAGTCGAACATCTTGTAGTAATTGGCCCGGTTTGGAAAGTTTCTTTGGTTACACTCTACTTTAACTTTATGCATATAGTTGCAACTAATCCTGAGTCTTAAAGAATTGTGAGGAAATAACTACGAAAAAAGAGCAACTTTATAAGTTTGAGAAAATGTGTTGGGGTTGGAGCACTAATTCAGGAAATTCTATTAAAATTTCATAGGCGTCTATTAGTTTTTATTTATTTGCCAAAATTTTAGAGGACTGCCCCTTTGATCTCCCTTTCGCATCCTTTCACTCCTGCTGTTAAAGTTTGCAAACAATCCTAGAAAATTCCAACTGTGTCAGTGATCACAGAAACTATGACAGTTTAACCCGAGCCTAACTTGGGAGGAAAGATTTTGATCATCACCTATCATAGGAGCTGGGGAACTCGCTGTTCTCGTTCATGGAAATTTATGCACAATGAAAACACTGTAGTGCTTTGTATAAAAAGACAATTGATTACATGACTGATATGACATGAAGTTTTTCAGTCGGGAAGAAGTCTGGTTGAATTTATTTCCTGTTACGCTTTTTACGTGTCAGGTATGATGATGTCATTGAAGACGTAACGCCTCGAGTAAATGAAGAGCAAAAAACAATCGGTTCTGCTTCTTAATGTAATGTGTTAATATCTGCTATATTTTACAATATTCAGGCTGATTCAATCACAAATAATGGAATAAGAGACTGAGAATAGCATGTGTCCAATTTGACGCGATTCGAGGACAAACGAGTCATTCTCAGACATCATGGATTAACTACAGTACAAATTATGTGATTCGATTGGGCCCATTGGGGTAAGTATATAAATATAATTTTCTGTTGGGTCATTTTATCATGAATTAACTTTTAACAAAGCCCAGTAAAAACAGTTTAAAATTTTGAGATTTATTGGTTTCATCTTTAATGCTTATATGTTGAGCTCTCATATTTATTTTAAGTATTTGTTTCCAAATCTCTGGCTACAATAAATGTTCAACTCCATTTACATATAGAGAAATTTATACATACATTTACACAAAGAAATTCACACCAGCTCTATATTGAGTATTTCAAAATCCTCATGTAACAAAATTATAAAAATAATGGTGTGTGGTGTGTTTGTAGGAGAAGAGGGGGATAATTGTAGTATAAGCTGGGTTTCACAAAGAGGGGTGCTATAGAGATATAAATGTAGTAAAAAAATGACAGTTAAATAAACTGTTAAGTTTTGTAATGTTAACATTGCCTAACATAAACATTGCCTATAGTGTTGATAATTACCCACTGTCTTAACATACACATATATGTACATAGCTAAATTCAATTTAGTTAAATTAAATAACCAAGGATATTGATTGAAATGATTTGACCATATGCAACTACCTGAACCCCCTGTCTCAGGTACTTATTATATTTTACTCAATGCAGTTCTATTTTCTTCATTCTCTTCTGTAAATAGACATTGTGCCCATCCCTTATTTGGAGCTTTTAATGTCGCCAATAAACATGTTGATTTGTCGATTTGACACAATTATATTTTACTCAATGCAGTTCTATTTTCTTCATTCTCTTCTGTAAATAGACATTGTGCCCATCCCTTATTTGGAGCTTTTAATGTCGCCAATAAACATGTTGATTTGTCGATTTGACACAATTTAGGTAACCTAGTATTATATCGCTAAAAAATTCTTATATGTCTTTCAGTTGTGTTGTATGTGCAGTATTCATGAAGCATCCAACTGAAAAAAATTGTTTTTCCATAAGTGGAGGAAGGATGGTTATTGGTTAGGCTAACTGTATCACATGATCATTTTTTTAGCTACATTATGAGAACCCCATCTTTTCTGATCAAAGCAAAATTTAGTTTTAATATCTTTGTGAATCAAAGTTTAAAGACCAGGTTCCTTTTCCAAGGAACAAAGCTTTATTGATTAATTAAAACAAATCTTTAAATGTTCAATAGGTTCTTGTTAACCTCCCTGTCTTGTCTGCAGAGATGTTTGTTTTATATTGATTACACAATCAATGTTCAAACCTTGCCTTTAAAGATATGCATGAACTCACGATCCTTCTCTTGATATTCCGGATGGTTCATGGTGTAAAGAAGTTCATTGGACGTACCACCTCTTTTTTTATTGTATAATAGTTAGAATGTAACAATATTAAATTTCCAACAATTATGCAAAAAAGAAGTTAAAGGCAATATATCTCCTTCCTATGCCGTGAAATTTATCAATTCGAGTATGCATGCATATCGCAGATTGCTTTAATTCAGATACTTGTATGTTATACCACAGTATTATAATACTTTCTTTTTAAGGCATCCTATGATAACACATCACATCTCTAAATGGCAGCTGCAGTTGGTGACAATGAACGACGGTGGGTGATCGTTGGTATATGTCTAAACAAAGTTCTCACTCCAGCATTGAGAGAAGTTATTGGAAATGAAATACCAAAATGGTACCAAAGCCTACTCCCACCTCCTCACGAGATTGATAAGCAGACATTAGGAAGACATAAAAAGAATTTGGCACCATCTACATTGAAATTAAATTATGAAAGCATCAACAACAATCGTACAAACCACAAGTCGTTTGTTAATAAATATGATTATGCTGTTAAAGATGCAGTATCTCTAGCGAAGTTGTTTTTGAAACCATTCATGGCTAACTTTAGTGGTTTTGATGACACTATGGATACGTCTGCAGCTTTGTCACTCGTCGCTGAGGCTCAACCTTTTCACGCTTCTGGGGCTAGTGGTATGGCGAGAAAAGTAAGATCAGATATTAGAAATGAGTGGGCGCATTGTAACTTTGCACACTGGATTGACGTCGTTTACCAAGCAGCTCTAAAAGATATGGAGACATTAATAAATCAAGTCAACCTTACACCTTCAAAAAGAAAGGAAATGCTTGATGATCTTGTTGACTGGAAAGAAAAAGGTACTGAACCAACTGAGTTCCATAATTGCTAAGAAGCAAAACGTGTAGTTTAAAAACATATGAAAAAATATAAGATTAAAAAGCAAAAAGTTTCGTTGTCTCGAACAGTTGTTCTCTACCCTGTAAGATGGGAATTCAACTGATCCTCGAGATAACGAAGTTTTTTGTTGTTTATTGTAGTATCCGATATGAATTACATTCTCGAGTGACTGCGAGCTATAGCGTAGCAAACGAGTTGCAAAAACATTACGAATTAACTTTATGTGTATAGACAGCAGTTTGACAAATACACGCTTTTTAAATCATGAAAATGCTTTAAACACGAAAATGACAAGTTTTTCATGGCCAGCTGAGAGCATCCATTGCGTGTTGATTTCGATATCCCATTATATTGTTTCAGGTCTGAAACTTTGTTTTGGCGAGCCAGTAGATCCTGAACTGCTTGAACTCGTCCACACTGAGGTTGCTGAACTTAAAGATTTGGTAAAAATTGTTGAAGAGAATACAGAGGATATTCTGGTAAATGCAATTAATAGAATTCACTGAAATTATATCCGTCGTGACCCGCGCGTTATGCTTGCCTAAGAACATTCCAGATAATATTTTTTGACTTGTGGTTAAAGTTGATATTTAAATAGGAAAAGTTGAAATGGAATAGTTTGCAGCACAATACAGAGTTTTGAGAAAGGAAGCATGCAATAAAGCCATCGCACTACATTTGATATAAACTACTCGAAATGCATGGATGCAGTAACCCCGGCCATTTCAGGTAAAAGTGTGATTGCATGAGCTATACCAACCCAAGCCAAGGCATGCAGTCTTATATTTATTAATAATATGAAATCACTCAAATGAGTCGATAGCTAATATATTTATATTAGTTATCGCCCGAAACAAATATAATCACAAAAGTGAGAAAAACGTCACCCGTTTTTGTTTTCTGCATGAAGCTTTAAAGTGCCTATATCACTTGTGGGATCTTTACGGATATGAATAGAGCTTGAAAAATTAGTTTATAAGTTCTACAACCCTTTTTGATATAGTTAAATAGTTTCGGAAATATTTACATCTAAACATGACGATTTGCCTAAATTTCCGTCGTGATCGGGGGCCTGGGACTCAGGAACCGAGTTCTTGTCAAACATAACAATTGTAATTTTACTTTGATCTTCCAATAACGTAAAATATTTTGAGAAAAACTCGCCCAGTTGCTACAGCCATATACAACGCACCGTTCCCGCATTTTTTTCTTGAAAAGCGCAAACTATATCGCCAGTGAAACTCTTCATGTTTACATTATAAAAGACGGCGTGTTTGCAAATCATTCCTGAGTCCCAGTCCCCCCAACCGACGTATTTTCGAAACTATTTATTTATATCAAAAAAGGTTGTAGAATTTATAAACATTTTTTTCAAGCCCTATTCAAATCCGTAAAGATCCCACAAGTGATATAGGCACTTTAAATACTTTTGCAATAATTTTGCGTGAGCTACATGTGCACTTGAGATTTTCCGTTTACACTAATAATATATTCTTTGCGTACAGAACGCATTAGAAGCATCGAAAATCTTTGAAAGATGAAATCCAAGAGTTAAAGGAAAGACAACTCCGTACTGAGAAAGATGTCGAGCAATTGAGAGCTAAACCGGACGATTTACTGATGACCATCTCGAAAAGAAACGAAAAAGAACCACGATATCTTTTCATGGCGCCTAAACAGAGTGTCTGGTTTAGTGGCCGAAAATCTGAACTCGGTTATCTTCGAGACGTACTCGAGAATAAGAGAAGATGTGGCGAGGAAGGAGTCCTTGTTGCTGCCATCTCTGGTCTTGGAGGATGCGGGAAAACAAGCCTTACTGCAGAATATATACACAAATGGAAAGGTTATTATCAAGGAGGTGTTTACTGGTTTTCCGCAGAAAGCGATGTAAAGTTCAAAGCCTCGGTCGATGAGATAGCCGCACAATTCGATACACTTTATAACGGAATGTTTAATGTTACATTGTACAAGACCCTAGCAGTTTTTTCACATATTACAAAACCATGGCTGGTGGTTGTTGACAGTATGGATGAAGCTGATCTTTCACCAAATTTGGTTAATTTGGTAACAGGGCCGTGGCAAACGTCGCGTGTTTTGGTCATCTCATCATAACAACACGACGAACACCTCAGGATTTAGAAGAGCAATTATCTGGTATCGAAGAATCCAATTGCCTCAAACTCGAATGCTTTGGTAGTGAGGAGGCGAAAGAATTCGTCTTCAGAAGAACCAACATTACTCGTGATGAACAAAAAGGTAAGTTAGGTAAAATCAATCTTTATATAAAATTTTACCACAATAGTTATAGTAATGGCGGTATACGATAATTGTCTATTCTGCGCCACGGTACACGAGCAAGTCCATGAAAGGGCATTGTTCGCTGACCTATATTAGTTTAAGGAATTAAATAAAGAACATTTTATAAAAGCGGCCTGTAGGAGCAAATCCAGATGGTCAAAACATTTTCAGCATAAATTTGAATAAATTGGATGAAAAGTTGCAAAAGTAATTCATCGAAAAGGCAATTGAAAAAACGCAGCTTTGTCAGTTCGAGCCTTTTATTTCCCTTGAGTTCTTAATTGTCTTTAATATCAGACGCAGTAAGATTTTAAGATTAATTAAGATTAGTACCGTGAAATTAAGCAACTTCAGACTGCTCTTCCTCTCATAACGTAGCAATATCAAATAAGAATTTTCTGCAGCATATACTTAGCTCTAAAAGTATAAATTCAGTCGAACAAATATCTGGTATTTGTTACATCTTTAATTCAACATAAAAGTTACGTCGGTGTAAGCAACAAATTTACCTTAACGCTGTTTACTTTCCCTTACACAGAACTTTCCGCGGACTCGCTATGTCAAAAGCTTGGTGGCTTACCATTAGCATTAGAACAAGCTTGTGCATACATCAAGTATCTGGGATGCTCACTATCTGAGTACTTAGGGTCGTACGAGGAACAGTCCCTCCAACTTCTAAACAAGAAGAAAGCTACCTCTTTTTATGGAACTTCCCCAGAACGATTGGCCGTTCGTACCACGTGGCATCTCAACTTTGAACATATCAAAAAAGATGAAAACGGGATCGTCGCCACTCGTTTTTTGAATGCTTCTGCGTTTTTGGATCGCAATGAAATTCAAAAAGACCTCATTAATGTTGGCGATCCACTTATTGACGACAAAATGTATTGTGATTACGTGAGCTCTTCTTTGGGTTCCCTTGAAGTCCTGAAACTCTTGACTGACTTTTCTCTTTTCAAGGAAACTCACGATTCTTCCCTCACTGTTCATCGTTTAGTCCAAGAGGTCATTCGAGAAAGTCTGACCTCGGAGGAGAAAGTTGAAAGCATTGTTGACGCAGCCCGGTTGTTACGTTTTGCCTTCTCGAAATGTCCCTCTCCTGATCTTATTTCAGTAACTGAATATAGTGATCGATCTTCTCTTTATGCAAATGATTCTTCGTGTTTTCATAAGTGGCATAAGTTGTGTTTACATGCACATGAAATTAGAAGGAATCTTGAACGTCTTTTGGAAGTCATCCATGATGTTATCGGGAAAACTGTCTTTCTACCAGAGATAGCAAGGGTGGTTTTCGAATGTGCTTTGCATTTGAATGTCAATAATTTGAGTAGTCAGGCAAAAATTGTAGGAGACTTTGCCAATCGGATTCTTGACTGTAGTCGCCAAGAGATTTCGGAGAATGCTCTGAGGGTTCTTTTTCCACATACGTTTCCTCTGTCAGAGTCTGTACGTAGGTTAATCAAATACTCCTGTGAGGCTCCCCCTGAGATAGAAAAGATCAATACTATTATTATCAATACTATTAAGACCTCTGCTTATGATTCCATGAAAGCAGAAATCGATAATTTGCGATCTGAGGGTAATGACCTATTCATGAAAAGCAATTTCGAAGAGGCTGTAACAGTATACTCTTCATGTATTGATAGAAGTATAGGGAAGAGTTTTTTTGACCCTAGGTTATTTAGTAGTCGTGCTTCTGCTTATCTCTGGTTAAAGCAGTTCAAAAATGCTCTGAGCGATGCTGAGGAGTACATTAAGTATTCTCCTGATTGTTGGAAAGGGTACGCTAGGAAAGCCTTGGCTCTTCACGGCTTGAATGAACAAGATGCTGTATGTGCTGCAGCTTTGGCCTTTTATTATTACCCCAGTATCTTCGAGAAATACGAACCATTCAAATTTTCATTTCCCAATATGAAAGAACGTATTCATATTTGTGATGACGTTCTTTCACTTGTTTCTTTGCTTTCTCCTCCGCTACATGATGAGATGTTGGTTGATAGCCCGTGCAAAATCATTCTCCTCAAACCAGGCAAATATTGTCTCCTCGCCAAAGATTTCGAAAGTGATCGAATTCAAGATGAAAATATTTTCAATGTCAATATAAAGCGGTTGATAACACTTGATTTTTGCATTGTTGGTTTGGATGATAGCTCGCCTTCACTCTCCTTCGAACGTAATTTAGGTCTGCTTTCCCGCAACGTTGTGGCTTATAACATCTCTTTTATATTTGATGTTGCAAACTGGGGTACCATGCAGGATTCTACAGTCAAGCTGTTGAACTGTTCGTACACATGCAATCTAGATTGGAAAAGGAAATCAGTGTAAACAATTGCAAAAATACTGCCCTGTTCATCGAAGGAGAAGCAGTTGTTGAAGATTCTGTCTTTTCTGGTAACAAGTCTGCTGGAATCGAAATCTTCCGTGGAAGTCTTTGCCTCAAAAACAGCAAACTTCACGGTAACCGATGGGGTTTATTTCTAAAGAATGGCAAATGTCGTATGACTTGTTGCCAAGTTTATGATAACAAGGAAATGGGTATATGGGTCCAGGAAGGAAATGCAACATTTACACGTAATGAAATATTTCACAATGACTTTGATGGCGTATTTGTTCGTGAAAAAGGTTCCGCGGTCATAGAGGAAAATGAAATATTTGAGAACAATTGGCTGGGTATTCGAGCGTTCGAGGCCTGGTGCCATATTTCTCGGAACAGAATCTACCAAAACAAATGTGGCGGTATTCATGTGGTGCCAGTAACAAAAGCGTCAGGTCTGCAGCAATCAATTATTGAGTCTAATCGTATTTTTAGGAACGAGGGGCCTGGTATTGACGAAACCATAGGTTGGGATGATGAACTCGATAGTGCGATGCCGAATCTTTTTGAAGTCTTTTCCGCAAGTTGTGGTGAATTCTTGCAAGCGAAATGCACTGACAACCAGGTGAAAAATAACGTGGAGAGAGGCAGCTATCCACCACTGAAGGAGTTCACTGACATTTGTTTTCGTTGTTACAAGAAAGGCCATTGGAAGAAATGTGACAGCTGTTTTATCGCAGGATACTGCAGCCCAGAATGCGAAAAAGATGACTTTGAAATCCACAAAAATTCTTGTGTTCGGCTATTGGAAAGATATAGCGTTTTGGTAAAAGTTCTTCCATTGTCATCCGGTGTCATTGGCGACAA